AAAGAGAGAGATGTCTCCCTCAGTAGAAGAGACCCCCCCCCCCCCCATGATTTTACTTTCACTGTGTCGAGGGGTCAACACACAAACACACACACTTCATACATCAAAGAAGGAGGACTCGTCTGCTGTCAACCAACATCAAGAAGAAGAAGAAGAAGAAGGCGCGTCGACTCTGACCATGTGGACAGTCCCTGTATGTTTTATGATCTTTTATCTCTTTTCCTTCTCAGCAGCTCAGGCCAGTTGATGTTGAAGTGAAGCTTTGGACTTCACACTTTAATGTGTTTGTAATATCCACCATCAGCCAGTTTTATTTTGGTGACTGCTGTTGTCAGACTGTAAATGTGTGTTCAGAGTTTGTGTAGTGAAGTAAAGCCGTGAGGGCGAGACTGAAGCGTAGACTCAGACTCTTCATTGTCTCAGGCTGAAGTTATTAGAACAATAGGAGGAACAGGTGGAGCTGGTGACACCTGATCATATGATCAGTTTATCATGATCGTCCAGCACAGATGTTTAATTCATTCATCCTGTGTGTTCTTCTTCTCTGAATCACATTTCAGTAGAAACATCCAGTCACTGTGAGTTTCAGAGACTCTTCACACTTTCACTTTTACTGCACACTGACGTCCATGAGCACAAACACAAACATCCAGTATGTTCTATTACTACACCTGTATTAATCACACAGAGGTGAGGCAGGTCAAAGTTCACACGTGATGACTGATAACTGTGTCAGCTGACCCAGTGGAACGACCATATCTGGAGAAACGTCCGTTCTCCAGCCTCAGTATCAGGAGAGGAACTGATAACTAACAACCGGAGGAATGTCCGACACATTTGAAAAACACAAACAGAGCGTGACCTCGGGTTAAGCGTCAGGCGTCCTGATAAAGGCGTGAAGAAGTGACATGATCCATGATCCCTGCTGTTTCCACAGAGCTGCCCTGATCTGGATCTTCACATCCCAACAGGTCAGTCAGTCAGTCTCTGTCTGTGTGTCTGTGTGTGTCTGTGTGTCTGTCTGTCTGTCTGTCTGTGATGGTTCTGAGTCTCTGTCTGTCTGTCTACCTGTCTGTCTGTCTGTCTGTCGAGTGTGTGTGTGTTCTGTCTGTCTGTCTGTCTGTCTGTCTGTCTGTCGTGTGTGGTGGTGTGTCTGTCTGTGTCTCGTCTGTGATGGTTCTGTCTCTTTGAGGTGGATATGATAAATATGTTCTGTGCGGTGTCACAGTGAGCTGCCTGCTTCATGGAGGCTCCTGTTGGAGGAAACGTCCTATTGTCCTGCGTCTACAAAGACTTCGGCTCCGCCCCACAGAATGTGTCCTTCCTCTGGTGGGACAAACAGAAGAAAGTCCTGTTAGTCATCGACCACAGCGTCCCTGAGGGTGAGACTGACAGCATCAGATCTTCAGAGGTCGAGTTCTCACGTTCCCCGGTCTGTACAGGGGGAACTTCTCAATCGTCTGCAGGACGTCCAGGAGGAGGACAGCAACGAGCCTAGCATCATACCACAACTGAACGTCAGCAGGACACCAGACTCTCTGTCTCAGGTCTGTAGCTGCACCGGGGGGGCGGGGCTAAATAAACCAATCAGTACAGACAGAGAGAGTTGCATCATGGATCAAAGTATTGATCCAGATCTTCTTCATGTTGCGGTGAAAGTCGTGTCAGAGCATCATCCCTCCATCTGACTGCTTTGTGTCTCTCTCTTCTTCTGTGGTGGAAACTGGACTGATGCTGCTCTCTCATAGGAAACAAGTCAGTGAATTCACTCCAAGTGAAAAATCAATGTTATATGTATTATATGTATAGTGTATGTATGTAATTTGAATGATCCAGAATCGATGAGTGAAATCCAGAGATGGATGTGGTCGTCACACACAGACCCGAGTCCTGTCCAATCAAAACTCATCCATCCTGTCATAAGAGCTGATATCAGCAGCTGTTTGATGGCTGATCAATACACAAACAAAGACAGAAAAGTTTGAGCTTCCCCGTCAGTTGACTGAATCAAATTGACTTTTTATAATGAAGAAAACTGGCGATAAATAAATAATCATTTATTAAATGTATTGATCCACCCTAGCTTCACAGGAGGAAATGTGATGCGTTCACTGACAGAAAAATACATCAAGAAAATGTGAAGAAGAATGAAACATTGATCGTCTCTGTCCACTCCTTCATGAACAACACTATGCTTCACCATTTACTCAAGTTTGTTATTCAGTTTCTCTTGTGTGGTAACTATGGTGACGGATGACAGGATGTGTTGTGTCTGCTGAAGTCACTATGAAACTCATTAGTGTCCTCTGCACATCTGCACCTCCTCAACCGAGCTTTTATTTTGAAATAAAAAATATTGTACATTATTGTTTCTCTGAGTAAAGTCACTGTTCACTCTGCTGTGTGTGTGTGTGTGTGCGCGTGTGTGTGTGTGTGTGTGTGTGTGTGTGTGTGTGTGAGGAAAGAGATGAAACTTATACAGAAATGAAACATTATGTAATTTCCTGTAAACATCATGCTGCAGTGTCACCTCCCTCTTCCTCTCGTTCACTGAGAAATGTGCTGAATTTCTCCAACAGGAAGTCACTCCCCTGTTAAAGGAGGGAGGGTGATGATGATGATGATGCCGGCTTCCTCTCAGAACAGACATTCAGAGCAGAGAGTCGACATGGACGCTGTGAAAAGGTCAGTCTAACTTTAACTCTGAGACGACGCTCAGGTTCAGGTTGTTGCTGAGGTTCATTCTCTCAGGTTCGATCCTGAGTCACATCCTCTGGGATCAGTCCGAGGGGCCGCGCCCCCAGATTAACCAGAATAACCAGATTAATAACATGCATGTGTGAAAGTAAATTGTTTGATTTTATGTGTGAACAGCTGATTGAGTGAAAACAGGAGAAACAGACAGTTTCTACATGAAGAGACAAAAACCAGCAGCTGGTTTCACAGAGACAGACAAACTGGACTGTGGTGCAATGAATTCTGGGTAAATTAAGACTTTTTTCGAAATAATATATCAACTAAAACCGCATCCAACATCTGAGCTCAGTTTACCCTCAGAGAACATGTTTGTCTACAGGAAGTTACAGGACGTTTTACTTTGAAAATTCAGTGAAGAGTTAAACAATAAAAAGTAAAATCTGATTCAGTCTCTAAAAACTTCCTCTTGTCTCTCTCCATAACATCGTTAGAAACCACGTTATCAGCCACGATTTCCTGTCTGCTGACCAGTCTGACCAGTCTGACCAGTCTCTGTGAGACCTGGTGCTGGTCTCATCTGGACCGTAAAGATCTCTGACCTCACACTGATGGTGTTCCTAATAATCTGAGCAGCCTGTATGTTTCTCCACAGCTCCGCAGGGATGTGTCTGTGGATGATGTTGTCCTTCGCTGGTCAGACAGGTGAGTTTGTCCAGGTGTAAACACTTCACCTGAACCTGCAAATTGATTCACCTGGTGGAGGTCAGGTGTCAGACCCTACGTCTCAGGTGTGTGTATCTGTGTGTGTGTCTCACAGCGAGCAGCCAGGTAGAGGTGCAGGCCTTTGTTGGACAGGACGTCCTGCTGCCCTGCAGCTTCCCAGGTGTGGTAGGTGACCTCCGACCTGAGAGAGTCAATGTGTCCTGGAAGAACCACGGAGACCAGGAGGTGCTGGCCATCGACGGCGTCCAGAACCTGACTCAGCAGCACAGCGCGTTCAGAGGGCGAGTGACGAGCTTCCCCAATCTGTACCCACAGGGAAACTTCTCCATCGTCCTGCGGGACGTCCAGCCGCTGGACGGCGGCCTGTACGAGTGTCACATGGTGGTGGACTTCAGGCAGCGGGTCCAGCTGGGAGTCACAGGTGTGTAGATCTGAACCTGGACCTGGAGGGAACCTGTAGGATCCTGGTTCTGGATTCTCAGTGTGTTTTACAAGCCAGGAGGTTTCAGACGTCACTGAGGGAGAGACAGGGATCAATATCATTATTGATCCTCATTATCAGTCTGATATCAGTTTTTATTATAATAATTAGAGGGAGAGAAAGAGGGAGACAGAGAGAGAGACAGAGAGAGAGAGAGAGAGGGAGGGAGAGAGAGAGACAGAGACAGAGAGAGAGGGAGAGGGAGCCCTCTGCTGGAGATCAGGTGAACTGCTCCAGCTCAGTCCTGGTTCTAATGCAGAACCTGGAGCCGGTTCTTCACAACACAGAGTTCCCTTAAAGTCTGAGTTAATGTTTCCAGACAATAGAAACACTGAACACGCTCAAGTCTTCTCCTGAAGGTTTCCTAAACATGTTGAAGGTTTTCTCCTTCTCGTCTTATACTGAAGGAATCACTGAAAGTCAGTTAAGACCCTCGAGATCAAACTAAGGAGAAACTAAAGGAACCTCTGTCTGTGTCTGACCTGTAACATGATCTGAGTTCATGGTGATAAATGAAGAATATGAAGCTCTGAAGAGACGCTGGTAAACAGACTAAACTAACTCCCTCAGCAAAGGAGAAATTAAACCTTCAGCAGAAAACTTACTGGCCCCTGGTTTCTAACTTTGACTCTGAAACAGCTGATCACCTGAACATTCAGCACCTTCACTGACTCTGTTATTCTGTCTGTGGTGCTGCTCATGTATGACCCAGATGTTGTTGATGTTGCAGGTAAACAAGGTCCTCCACCAACATCAGGTGGTGCCGTGCTCAGACCAAACTCCCTGCGTGTGACTCTGCTCTCCGTTCCTCTGTTGCTCTCTCTGTTGTGGCCGATGATCTGATGATCTGATCAGCTGATGATCTGATCAGCTGATGATGGTCCAGTGGAGCAACTCCTTCACCTGCAGCTCTTTGTATCATCAGCACAGACAGTCTGAGCATCTTCTGTGTCTCTGTTGTGTTATAGTCAATGTGATTCATGGATTCCAGCTCTAAAATTCACTCTTTAAAAAACAATGACATATTAAATGTTTTATATTTTGAGGTTTTCTTAAAAAGCATAAAAAGATCATATTTTGTATTGAAATGTTTTATTGATTTGCCCTGATTGATTGGAGCTGGCCTCTCAGCGGATAACTCTGAGTTGTGAATGTGTCACTCTTCAGTAGAGTGAGACTCTACAGGTTCATATGTTGTAAACAAACACAGGCCTTATTGTCTTTCATCTTTTTTTACATTGATAATAATAAAAACAGGAAGTGAAGCTGGAGAGTCAGCTGACTGAGTCTGGAGAGTTTCTCTGCAGTAACAAGTTTGTGACACAAGGTGGAGCCACTTCCTCAAACTGCATCAGTCTGTAGAGAGAAGACACTAAAGTACCACTATACTACTGATACTACTACTGATAGTATCAGTAGTACTATCAATAGTAGTATCAGTAGTATCAGTCTGATACTACTGATACTACTACTGATACTACTGTACTCCCAGCTACCGAAGTTTCTGCTGCTATTACTGTAAATACTACTACAGATACTGTAGTACTTCTGGTATTAGTATAATGACAGCTTCTACTGTAGTACTGATATAACTGTCACTCATTCCTCCAGATGTGGTGTCTATAATCAATCAGATATATTGATCACCTGTAAACACCTGATCATCAGACATGATGACAGCGGCTCAGCTCCCGCAGCAGAGGTCGCAAGAAGTTTCACTTCTGGCTCTGGAGCGTCTGATGAAACACTCAGAGTTTGTAGTTCAGACCATAAGATCTGATGTACAACAGCATTACCTTGTGAAACAGGAAGTGAAGATCTCATCTGTCTTTGAAGGACAGAGCAGTTTCACATCACAGCTGTGCTGCTGTCGGGAGGCTGTCTCTTCAACCTGCTCATGGATTTGCTTTGGATGATGCTGCCTGTGTTTGTGGTTTGTGCAGAGGCCCTGAACATGACTGAGGTACAGGTGCAGCTTGGTCTCAGCATCACTTTGACCTGCTCTGAGAACCTTCCAGACCTGTACTGGTACGCACAGATCCACGGACAGCTCATTGGATTCATCGGTCGCACTTTTTCTGGAAACTATGCGCCTAGCATCTGTTCTCCAAATAATACAAGCAAATACCTTCTCCAGGGAAACACACTGGAGATCAAAAACATCACAGCGGACGATTGCAGACTTTACTTCTGTGGCAAGAAGAAGAACAGCAACATCATTTATCTGGACACTTTCCTCCTAGTCTCAGGTAAGTGCCACAGTCTAACAAATAATGTCTTTTACTTCTTTAATGCTGGAAACTACAGGATGCAATGAAGTCTGATGTGAATATAGTATCGCTGTTATTATTATTATCATTATTATATAATGGATAGTAGTCTGTGTATATGGTTGTTCATAGAGGTAAGAATCTTCTGCAGATGAACTTCTGAGGGTCTGAATTTTGTAAATCACTGAATTGTGCTGTTGAGTGAAGCCTCAGCTGTGTTGTCTGTCAGGGTGTGGTTATGGCCGTAGTTTTTATTAAAGGAATGTGAACGTGAGTAAATGATTTCAAGTTATGAAATCCATCAGCTGATCTTTGTTTGTCTCTGTCCTGTCTGTGACCCAGACCGAAAACAGGAGCAGTACACCTGGACCATGATGCAGAGTAACCCCGTCATGTTCGGCTCACTCACCCTGAATGCTTTACTCCTCTTAGTGACAATAGGTGAGTCTGTTATTTATATTTCACCCGGTCACTGAGCTTTAAATACATCTGCTGCATGAACACAAGACAGGTAGTCATGTCGCTTTAGATTTTAAACATCTACATTCAAAGAGACAATAGATAGGTCTGACTGCAGAATGTAATGACTGGTGTATAATGAGGCCAGCAGCGTTATGATTGGTTCACTGTAAACTATTGCTCCGGGACGTGACTCAATATTCAGTCGGTTTTATATCTACTGGATCCATAAGAAACAAAACCCGCCTCCTCATTAACACAGGCCGCCCTTACCACAGCACGAAGATGTCTTTATTTGGATGGTAGCTTGTTGCTAACGCTAGCCACTTGTTTCTTCTTCTGCTACTGAAACTTGTCTTCTTTTACTGCGATAGAAGAAAAAGAAGAAACCTGTTTACGCTTGTTTCTTCTTCTACTACTGAAAGTGTGTCTTCTTCGTTATGTTATTTGGTGGACTGCAGTACCAACCTTTAGCTGCATACCGCCCTCTACCGTACCGGAGTATGTAATTTAAATAGTTGAATTCTATGAAATAACCCGGTGTTAGTCTCACACACCTTCTCTCCTCAGTGTGACGTTGTTAGTCTGAAGGTGAAGTCACTCACCTGACGCTCTGTTGGCAGGTCTGGGGTCTACGTCACTGTGTTTCAAGAAGAAGACTAGAGACGTCCAGGTGAATGGCCCATCACCTGTCACGTATGATAACACAGAGACTCTGGAGACACCGCAGGTGAATACTGTCCCACTATTAAAACTGCTACTGCTACTATTGATGCTAATACTAGTACTACTATCAGTTACTGCAACTGATGCCACTTCTAATTGTCATTCCCACTACTAATAGCACTACAGCCATTGCTAATTATTTTTATTTTATTATTATTATTTTATTTTATTGTCAATGCTACGGCTACCGTTATTACCGCCAGTGTGGCTAATGTCACAGCAGCTAACTAGTAATGTTACTGCTGTTACCTCTGCTAATTCTACTGCTAGCGACAGCTACAGTTTTGCTACATCCACTGCTAACAGTGCTATCAGTGGTGCTAACAGTGCTATCAGTGGTGCTAACAGTGCTAACAGTGGTGTTATCAGTGCTACCGTCCCTGAACTGTACTCAGAACTCCTGCTGTGTGTTTCAGTATGAGGAGATCCAGTTCACCACCTCTACAGTCCGTCCAGCTGCTCCTCCTCTGGAGTGTATTTACTACAAAGCTCAGCTTCCTCGCTCCCCGCTGCCTCAACATTGACAGAGCAGGACACCTGGTTGGTACCTGTACAGCTGGTCTATTCACCTGTAGTATTTACATTTGACAGTTGGATCAAAGACATTTTTACCAGAGGTGAAATAACTTTCTATTCCACTAGCTCAGGGACTGAACCTGTCAGAGGACTGATTATTGGACGGGGGGGGGGGGTTCCGGACTGGTGAAGGACGATGAGACAGTTTCAGGTTAGCTCACGTGGACTCTGCAGACACACCTGGTGAACAGACCCGAAGGTTTGGTGTGTTTTGTTTTTGCTGCTGTTTATAACAGTTTCCTTATTTTTTGCTTTTTTGTTTTTTACTTATGCTCTGCAGTCTGGATATGTACTGTTGACAAGTTATTAATATATAACTCTTCATATATTCTTTTTATATATTCTTAATATATAAGAAACAACTCTCCCTGTGATGGATCAACAACACTGTAAATATAGAAAATAAAAAGTTTTTCTAAAAGACAGTTACACCTGCTTCGTCCTTCAAAATTTCATCAAGACGTAGAAATAACTGAATCTTTGTATGAAATATAATCACTTTCTTTTTATACACCTAATGTTTTCTTTCTGGCAGAAATGAGTTTCACTAAAATACAAAAAAACTTGCTGAGCATCAGGTTCAGTATTTAGTCATAGATTTGTTAGAAACAAATCTATTTTATTTTTCATGAATGAAAATGCCACAAACTTAATGATGTTTCATGCAGAGTGGAGATTTTCTCATCAGGAATCTAAAGTGTCAGCATTTGTTTAAGAAGCTGCTTTAAGTTTTAGTCGTCTGAAGAACATGAACCACACAAACAACAGCCAACAAACAAATGCTCAGATGTGTTGTTTTGGAAATGTTCCACTTTTCGTGTGGAGGAAGTCAGAGTGGCAGCTTTGAGGTTCCTGTGGTCAGATCAGTGTCGGTGTGATTGAAGCTGCTGGAGACCACAGCTGTGTCCTCACGACTGCAGACCATACAAACCAGATTAATGAAAGTGGACTGTGTGTTAGAGAAGGAATTGACTGTCTCTGATCTAGTAACGTCCGTCCACTACACCGTACCTCAGCTTTTGATTGGCTCATGTGATGTTTTTAAGATGAGCTCAGATGCGTCTTATGTTTTAGTTCCTCAGTCTTAAATCAGTCACAGTTACTGTAAAATCCTTCCGGTTCCTCAAAGTGCTGAGTTGACGTCTTCAGACTCTCCTGACCTGAGTTAGAACAGCTGGGCCTCCTCAGTGCGTGTTGTCTTTATTTCAGCTGTTTGACCTCATGAGGCCACAGTTTGATTAAAACTAAAATCCCTCTTTACGTCTCATGTTTATGAGACCTTGAGCAGCTCACTCAGGATGAATTGAAGGAACAGAACCACAGTGTCACTGTGAGTGTCCTGCAGCGCGTCGGTTTGAGATTTTCCGCTGAGACTAATGAAGTTCCATCTGTTACAACTTGTGTCTCGCTTCCTTCAAGTTTTCAAAGCCCCTGTTTTGTAAAACAGTTTCTATCTTGGGTGTAAATTGTTCAGAGGAAGTTGCTTTTTCAGTCTCTAACACACACTGATGAGGAAAAACCTTCATCACTGACAACATATATTCATTTAAATGAATTTATATTCAGCTCAGGTTCCTCCACTTCCCTGGATCCTCTTTGAGATGATCCTGCACCTTGACTGGAGTCCACCTGTGGTCAGCTGATTGGACACACACCTGTCTATCACTGTGACATGAAGAAGTCTGGAACAACCAGGTCGTTCTAGAGTTTTCTACAAAGCTTGAAAACTTATCAGTGACTGGAATTGAGCTCTTACAGTCACCTAACATCAGTTCACCCTGTAACAGGAGAGATGATTCAAACTGTCAAACCACATGTTCAACCTCCTGTTTAACCTGCTGGTAGGAGTTACTGTGGTTGTTGTGCAACAGGATGTGCTTCAACGCCGTTTTGGTCCATTAATCTACAAAGTTTCCACCAAACAAACAAAGTGTTGGATACTGGTTCCCCAGCTGTAACATGTATGTGACCTGTTCTTCTTCAGTCCAGTGATGAAGATGAGGCAGGAGGAGGGAAACACAGCTACAGGTGTGAACACACACACTGCACCATGTTAGGAGTGCAAAGGGTTGAAGCTAAAACTCCTTCTTCTTTGTGAACTGAGGTGCCCTCAGTTCACAAAGAAGAAGGAGTTTTAGCTTGGACTGCAGCAGCACATCTGTCTAACCTCTGGAGGCGTGCTCTCAGAGAGGTGTGAATGGGACCTTTACAGTTTGTTTTTATTCTGAAGAAACACTGCACCCACTCAACTTGGCAGCTCTCCTGACTCCACCCCTTCTCAAGCTGGAAACTCTCGTCTCAGTATGACGTGCATTTAGTAGCTGTTGTGGAGCTTTTGATCATATCACATGATCTTCATCAGAAGATGGAGAATGTCATGATATTAAAGACGATCTCAGTGCTCAAGCATCTATACCGGGCTAACTCACTCAACTGAGGAAGATCACATGATCAAAAGCTCCAGAAAAGCTACTAAATGGACCTTGTAGTGGGCCTCTCCTTTAAAAACAGTAGCTTTACTTTTGACCTTTAAAAATATTCCAATAAAAACTCACAAGAGTGGCACAGGTCATACTGTACCTAGAGGAGTATGGGCAATTAAAGTAGCCGTGATTGTACTTCTAATGTTAGAAGTATGTAGTAGTGATTACTTACTAGTAGTAGTGATTACTAAATGTAGCAGTAGCAATAATATAGAAACTGTAGTAGTAGTGGTTAGTAGCAGCAGTAGTAGTACTATTGGTGTAGTAGTAATAGTATTAATTGTACTAGTACTAAGAGAAATAGTAGTAGCAGCAGTGTTGGTATGAGATATAAATGAAACCCTGTAAATTGTGATTGATGCCTTAATAACAACAGCAGCTTCTGGTCACAGACAGCAGGTCTGTGTTTATACAGCACATTAATATACAGAGCACGTGATCTATAATCTGTAACACCGAGGCTGCTGCTGTACACAGACTGATCTGTTCATGCTGATGACAAACTCTTCAGCAAAAAGACAGAACCACTTCCTCTCAGACTTCACACTCCGGTGTGGAGGTGAAAGGTCATCAGATAAACACAGACACGACCAGGTCGGTGTCGGTGGTAAATAACTTCCTCATGTTCGTTCTCTGTCAATCGGTGAAAACTTCTTTAGTTAAACTTTGAGTCTTTATGTCACACGGTGTGAATCAGCTGATTTCTAAATGTCACCACTGTCACTGTCATAAGACTCATGACTCTGTCCAAAGGTCAAAGGTCAGCAGACATCAACATGAAACTGACACTGCAGGATGAAGAACAACTTCCTCCTAAATCTGTGGGGAAGTTAAAGTGATCCTGTAACGATCCTGGACCCCGACCCCCCCCTGTCAGATTATTACTTTATTGATTATGTCACTGATTGAACATGAAACTCACCCTGACTGTGATCAATGCTCAATAACAGGAGACGCAACAGCAGCACCACCTGTAGTACTAGTCAGTACTACTAGTTAGTACTACAGATGTACTAGTTACTAAAGGAGGAGTAATACTAGTAGAAAGAGTAGCACCTCCAGTAACAGTGATGCTACTAGTGATAACTGCAGTAACAGTAGTATTACTAGCAGGAGCAGTATTAGCACTTACACTAGCACTACTGCTAGTAGTGTATTTAATGTTGGAATAGTACTAGTTGTAATAGTTGCATTACTTTTTTGAAACAATTAAAAAATAATAATAGTAATAGTGTCGTGGTGTTATGGCAGAATAGATGGGCAAAATAGATTTTTAAATATTATTATTATTAGTAGTAGTAGTAGTAGTTTTATAGTTAATAGTGAATAATAAAAATTAAACAGAAAAATAAAAATTTGATAGCATCTATTATTAATAAAACATAATAATTTGAAATATGTTATATTATAATAATATAATATAAATTATTATACTGCGTAACAATTATAATTTATATTATAGGAGCAGCAGTTGTAATAGTTGCAGCATGAATATTAATGGTAGAAGTACTTGAGGTACTAATAGAAGCAGTACTAACTACTTTGTAGTTTTAAATGATTCTAATAAAGAAAGTTATTTGAATGTAGTAGTATATTTACTCGGGCGCCTGCCAGAGGCCTGTCTGCTTCTCAGGTTGATCAATTAAAAATCAGCATCACTCATTACATTGAATGTCTGTGGTCGTTGATGAGGAAACATGAAGTCAGCATCAGATCTGAGGCCTGGAAACAGGAAGTGGTGGGCTAACCTCACTGTCACACTGTTTCCTGTTTGGCTGCAGTGCTGGTCAACACTTCACTCTGTGTTGAGGCCAGATGATTAATAACCTGCAGATGAAAACACAGCAGCAGCAGATTATTGATCAGTTGATTGATTACTTTTACTGCACTCGTGTATATTAGAAAAAATACAACAATTCTAAACTAGAATATACTTTTAATGATTTTGCAGAAACAAATGCATCAGAATGTAAAAGATCATTCACTCAGTGATCACTTTATTAGGAACACCGCACTAACACTGTGCAGTTCCTCAGCTCGCCATGAGCTGCGGTGCCGTTTGGATCCACGTGGGGGCGCTGTGGTGTCACAAACTGGAGACTCAGCAGGTCAACCAAGGTTTCCTGTGTGTGTGTGTGTGTGTGTGTGTGTGTGTGTGTGTGTGTGTGTGTGTGTGTGTGTGTGCGTGCGTGTGTGTGTGCGTGTGTGTGTGCGTGTGCGTGTGTGTGGTAGATAAACTTTATTTTACTCCATTTTACACAAATTAAACATATGTGAGAACTTTTAGTCAAAGTGAAAAAAAAAGTACTATTTATTGTTTATATATTATTGATCCTCAGTTCATCCATTTATTTACATTGACTCATTTATCAGATGCTTTTATCTAAAGAGACAGTGAGTGACATCACAGAAGCTCCAGTGTAAGTATTACGTCATATTATCTGTTATCTATCATTTGAATATGGTCACAGAGTGAGTGTGTGAAAATGAAAATGCTCATTGGATTACTGCATTTTCTTTTGAACTTTTACTGAACAAAGTCCATGTCTCTAGTGTTGTCTGTGGAGGAGTCCGTAATTTCTATCTTTAGTAATAACACGTGACATTTAAGTCTCTTATTTAGTCTAAATTTCTTTCACATTAATGAACTGTATGTTTATGCATGTTGCGATTATTATTTATTAGTAACTTCCGCTGCTGCTGGTCTTTTACCTTCACGTCCTGCTGCAGGTGATGGATTATGTTTCACCAGCAGATAAAGTTTTCTGGACTCCTGCTTCATGTTTGCTGGTTTTACTCTGTGATTCCATGAGCACGTGAAGAGGAGATTAAATGGTGATTTAAAGATGTTTTAAAAATAGTAAAATGTAAAATAACATCAGTAGAAATATAAATAA